AACTTTTCAACTGCAAGGATGTGTGGCACCTTATCAAAAGCTTTGGCAAAGTCCACGTATACAGCGTCGACTTGCTGTCGTTTTTCCATCCTATTCACAAGAGTCGATACATAGCTTAGCAGGTTCGTTGTGGTCGAGCGCTTTTTCATGAAACCGTGTTGTTCAGTAGAGATTATACATTTGGTAGACTGGTACAGCACATCATGCACCAAGCTTTCGAAGATCTTCGGCAGACAGCTGAGAATGGAGATCCCACGATAATTCTCTACATCATTGAGCGAACCAGATTTATGAATTGGTGTGATTGAAGCAGATTTCCAAATCGTAGGAAAGCACTTCTCGTTAAGTGAACGGTTGAACAAAATGCTTGCAGGTAACGCTAGAGAATTCGCACAATGTTTAACGACAAATGGAGGCAATTGGTCAGGCCCAGCGCCTTTTGAACCGTCGATTGATTGCAACTTGAGCAGTACATCGTTTGGTGAAAAATTCATCCGTGGCACGTTTACATCATACTGCGGAATACTGTCCAGGTACGTTACAGACAAAGGTGGTGAGTTATTACTTGACACACTTTGAAAGTAAGACGAGAACATATTCGCTGATTCCTGCTGCGTAGTGGTAGTCATTCCTTGGTAGCGCATGTTCTGAGGAATCCCTTTCGTCGATTTTCGGTCGTTAACGTAATTCCAGAATGATTTCGGGTCCGCTTTCACGTTGTCCTCGATGCGATGAATGTAGTCGCGAAAACATCTTGCGTTTAAAGAGTTGTATTGAGCCTCTGTATCACGCATTTCAGTTTTTCGTGACTCACTTCTGCGTTTAAAGTATCGTTTCCTAGATTTACGAAGACGATTCCGAAGGTGCCGAAGGTCCGCGTTCCACCATGGCTGGTTTTTGTGAAGTTTCTGTCTGCGTTTTCTCATCGGTACACTAGTTCGGATGATTCCAAAAAGCTCACCGTAAAAACGAACAGCTGCTTCGTCCACTGAATCTGTTCTTAATAATTGTTCCCAGTCAACTTGCTGAATTTTCCCATTCAACACAGTGAAGTCAAAGCGATGAAAATCAAAGCATTCAGACTCCTCTTCGACAAAATTGTTCTCAACATCCAGTTTTAAAACGATCGGTTTGTGATGTCTGTCCATTTGCAACAGCGGTAAGGGTGGTTCAAACATATCTGCACAAGCTGAACTGTTGGTAAAAACCAAGTCGAGTAGCCTATCGTTGTCATTAACGAAATGGTTCTGCTGCTGCAGTCCTGTAGGCAACATAGATTCAACCAATGCTAATTCAGACTCCGTGGACGCATTTATCGGCAAGAAGCAGTTCATGTCCTCGTCATATTGCCAGCATAAGCCTGGCAGATTGTAATCACCCAACACAATCATCTTATCACATGCTCTAGCAAGCGATGTCAGTTGCTGAACACAAGTGGAGTGTGTTTCGTAAAGCGCAGGGTCAGAATTAGAAGGCAGGTATACTGTACAGAGAAAAATCTTTTCGTCCTTCAACTCAATGCAAACAGCTGTTTGTTCCAGTATAGCGTCTTCCGAGAAAGTAACAGATGTGCTCATCAGCCCGGTTTTGACACCTATCAATACACCACCACCTCGACGAAATTGGCTAGTGGCAGAATTACGATCACAACGATAGAGTTTGTAGCAGTCTGTAAGCTCCGAGTCGAGAATATCATCCTTCAGCCAAGTCTCAGTAAAAACAATGACGTCATAGTCACACGAAGCGAGGGCAACAAATAGGTCGTTTGTTTTGGTTCGTAGCCCTCTAACGTTCTGATAGTAAATAGTCAGTGAACGTATAGTGCGAGAGTCGGGTGCGTGGCTGTCAGCTGTGGTCGATTCGTGAGTTTGGGATTGATCGGATACTCGTTTGTTTGAAGGAGTGACGTCAGTGCGATGGATCACTGGGCAATGTGATTTATGGACGAAAGCTTTTTCGTGTTGATGATTGGTTGGAGTCAAATTCACGAAAGACTATTCCCTTCTGCCACGACGAACTTTGAAGAGCCAGATCCTTCAGGTGCAGACCAATGCCGACTTTGAACGAGACAAAGGTGAGTTCACAAAGATTTTTACCTTTTGGAACCAGCTTCGCAACGTCAATAGTCTCATCAGTGTTAAGGTTCTTCTTCACAAGGTCCGCAATTTCATTCACTGTTGCTTGGGGGGCAAAACCGGACAAATACAAAACGAATTTTGTGTCTCGTTGTGAGACGGCTAGCGGAACAGCAACATCAGCATCCATCTCTTTCGTTCCTTCGACATGGTTCACAGGGGGAGCGGCTCTGCCAGAATTGTCTGCCTTTTCTTGCTTTCGTGTGGACTCTGAGCCAGAACTCGTTTTTTCTGCATCCGACGTTGAGTTGTGCTGTAGGATGGAGTTTATCTTTGCTGTGTTCAGCTCAATTTCACTCCTAAGCTCTTGCAACACTTTGTTATGCTCCTCATTGACAAGTTGCATTGCTGTGTTGGTGGACAATATTTCATTACAAAAAGCATGAACAAAGGATGTTCAAATTCAGTAAGCTAAGATATTAAGATAGACCTGATGCCATACGCCCAGATTCTAACTGGACCATGCTTTAGATACCGAAAACTTGATGGAATTTCCGAACTTCTCAAACATAACCAAACTTTCAAGATTTCTGTAAATTTTAATTTTCATTCAAATATTCAAATTTTCACTGGGGATAGATTGTAAAATTGTCATCCGCCTGCAACCTAGCCAAGTTATTAAAATTCAGACACTTCAGGTTTTTCATAGGCTTCTGGAACAATGGGACAATCTTCAGGAATTCACGGTATTTTTCCAAAACTCTGACACAAAGAATAATTTTCAAGAAGTCTAGGACCAAGTCTAGGACTTCAAGATTTTTTTTCTAGATTTCAAGATTGAGCGCAGATATCGGTCTTCTCGGAATTATGGGAAAATGTTAAGTCAAGTTTTTAAAATTCTCACGATCTGCAACATTACACATTTTTACGATCTGCAACATTACCGAATTTTCAAGATTCTGAGAGAAAACTATAAAACATTCCAAAATATGTTAAATTTTCAATCTTCCAGAGCTTAAAGGAATTTGCAACAACATACGCAATAATTTTCAAGTAATTGAGTCTAATAAATTTTCAAGATTAAAATGTATTTTTAATATCTGAGTGGGTGGAGGTGAAGAATTCGGCCCTTAGGGTACGGCCAGGGTAGACGCGATTCGCGACGCGACGCGACCAATTCAAAAGAATCTTATTATTTATTATTATTCCTTGCGTGAGTCGCATCGCGTCGCGTCGCGTGTCGCGTCTACCCTGGCCGTACCCTTAGAATAACATCCAAGCTTCTAGGGTTTATCCCAATCGGCAATATTTTGGGATTCAGTAAAATTATCGATATTCTAGGTCAAGGGCAAAACTGAATTTCAAATTGAAATTAAAATTTGTTGATCTAATTTTGGTTGACTTAACGGTTAACACAGCAAAAATGAGGGTAGAATTTTGCACTGTTGAATCAAATGGAAAACTAATCCTGCTTTAAATTCTGCATTCATAATATTTAGGTAACTGAAAACGGGCCTGGCGTAAATGGTTTGCATCCATGCTTCTCTCGCTGAAAGACTTGAGTTCAAATATCACCCCAAGTCACAAGTCACGAACAGTGCTGAGTGCTGTCAACAATGTCAATTGACGTAAGGTATTGCTCTAACACTGAATTTCACTTCTGACACTGATATTCTTCGAAAGCATAATATCAGGCGGTACAGCTTATTGCGTGCTCTCAACTAAGTGTTCTAGATGCACTTGCATAGAGTTTGAAAGCTTTCGATGCATTAGTATAATTCTGTGGCACGTACAATCATAATCTATGCCCCAGGGAATTCGAGAAATTCCTAGACCGGCTCAGGAATCGAACCCAGCCACCTGGTCTTGCTTTGTTCCTGCGCCTATACCAACTGAGCTAAGGGAGGCGTTATCTTATTTATAAAAGTATTCAAAGAAAGAAATATTGCCTTCTATAGTGTAATAAGAAAGTTGTCTTAGCTATTAAACTGCTTAAAGTATTTAGGAGTATTTACTCGTTTATCAAAATATGGGATTTGGTATGTTTTGAAAAATTATTTTCAGGAAAACAACATAGGGTAGAGAACTACTTCGGCCTAATCGCCCATTTTGAGCCTATCGAGTAGAAAACTTTAAATAAATCCATGATTTCAGAGTTAACAAGTCAATGATGCGTTTGGTACGATACTTTAGTTAATAAACTACCAAACGAAGTCAATGAGAACGCGTGATATGAAGGTTTGCATCCATTATTCCCAAAATCAAAAGAAGCGCTCCGACCGAATCAATTTTTATCTTCATCCGATAGGCCGAAGTGGCGTTTCAATGGCGTTTCAATGCGTAAGGCCGAGTTTAAAATCCGTAGGCCGAGTTTGGCGTCAAGAAGCAGTGTTGGACTTTTGACAATATCTCAACGCTTGATTTCTCGTTCAAATCTTACGGTACGTACGGAAAGGTAAATAAATTTGGAAGCTATCAGTAATAATAACATTCCGTTTGGTGCTAAACTGAACTAGATGAAAAAAGACTAAGTGCGGGTTATGCTTAGTAGGTCGGAAATGGGGTAGTTAACCCTATTCCAAAAAAAATGCGTTTCAGGAAATGGACTTTTCTGGGAAATATTCTGCTTTAAACCCAGTTTATTAGTTTATCGAATTAATCCCAAATGTCACGCAGCATATATTTAAAGTGGGATTAAAAAAAACCTGTGGTTGTTACAGTCCAGTGACCGCTTAACAGCTTCAAGTATTATGCCAAACCACTGTTATGCCATTTGAAATTTTGCCAACCTGTAAGTATATTGCCGATAATATAGATTAGAGAAGCGTTTTAATGCGTATTGGGTACTAGGGTATCGTATATTTTATGTTCGAATTAATTATGTCAGTAGAACTCTTAATAATCGCCCAATTCCTCAACTTCTAGGGTCCACCCCGGGCAACTTTGACATCGTGGTCTACAACCAAAACCTGAAGGAAGCGTACGCGCAGCTGCGGGACTTCATCGTCCGGGAGCTGGAAACACAGCAGAATCAAGGTATCAACGTTAGTTTGACCCGTGTGGCTATGAATCAAGACTAAACCGCTGTTAGCCCTTTGCCTGCACCCACACTGAACCCGTTTGCTGTTTGTTGTGTGCATTTTTCGGCTGGACCCGTTCGAACCGGAACGTCGACCGTTTTGTGAACACATTTCCAGACTAACCTGCTCCTCAAAACACCTCCATAGGCATTTGTATTTCAAACCATTTAATTTACCAAGAAAAAAGTGTACCTAAGAAGTTGATTGTATTTTAACCGTGCATCATTCCAGTCTCTGATAATGAAACCATATTTCTACCAAGCTAACTTTACAATTTCTCTGGAAAAAATCAATAAGGTGCTAAGTAATTCTCTCTCTCCTGATACGACGGCGCAGCAATACTATTTTATTGAACATTGTTAGTTACTAGAGGAATGATATTAGACCGAGAAAAAAAAGGACGAAAGCATTTTCAAATTGAAGATTGATTAGAATAAGTGTTTAGCGCAAACAGCAAAATCGAATTTATGTTAGAACTAGATTTGGTATCCTATCAAGCTAAAGTGAATGAGTTCAGTTTCCTTTTTGTTAGTAAATATCTACTACATTCCATTTGCGTTTTGCTCTTATGTCTAACTTCCTTCTTTTTTTCCTTCTATATCTGGTTATATCAGAGTTGCATTTTTCATCATTTTTCCGATTACCTAACACTAACATCAGTTATAATAATAGTACCGGTGTGCTGAGAGCTGCAGTGATTTTTTTTGTGCTAACCGGCATTTATATTAATAGCATTTAACGTGAGTCCAAGCCCGCTCCGGATGCGCAAAGATGCAATCGTTGATCCTGAAACAACTATACTTCCGAATCACTCCGGTGTGGTTTGTGAAATTATAACCCCGATCCATGACTACACCCGACTATCTGTCTCTATAACCATTCAATTTGCATGATTTCCACTAACATTATCGATCACCACGTGCTGGTGGTGGCGGCGAGTTTCCTGATTGATGCTTGTTTTGCTCTATTAATTAATGGCTCAAAGTGCACTTCCTCCACCATCCATCCATCAGTCTGTCTATGGCCAAGGACGCCGTTAGGCTATGATTGTATTTACTGGTGAGATGGTGGTCAGTTGGCGTTGCTGGAGTGCCATCAATAAATTGCTTTAATTACACAGAGGCATCCAATTGCCGGTTTGGTTTTTACACCTTCACTTATGTTTCTTTTCTTTTCTCTGTTTCTCTTTCTCTCCACTCCAAACATAATCATTACTGAATGTTGGCTGTGCGGGTACGTTCGCTCACTGTCTGTCTGTCTGATGTTTCCAATTTTTCCCACGCTGGATTACAAACAACAGACAACTTCTACGTATCTTCCATAATCACAGGATATAAAGGTTATGAAGTGTAAGCGCCTCGTTAACCCTTCCTTATTTGTTCCATGAGGGGGCGGAAAGCACGTGCGCGCAAAGGAAGCCCCATAACCCTATAATTTATGCCAATATTGCTTTTCGTGTAATATGCCCGCACACAAACAACAGACTATTTACACCTTATAGCTCCTAGTGGTTGTAAAATTTAAACCGATAGTGATCAACCCCGCACTGATAAACTCTCTGAACACTGCTCCAAAATAAGCACTACTTGGACTCATGGCAAGAGCAAACTATGTAGGTACTACGAAGAAATGCGGCAGTCGTTCGATAATTACAGGCCCGTAGTTGCTTTTGTTGTAATCCTTAATTCTAGGTTTTGTATAGACACACTTAATGTGCTCCCCTTTCCAAGTTACTTTTTTTTTACTTCTGTGTCTTATGTAGCGGTGAAACCTTTATTTGTTAACCAATCGACGAAACGATACACCGAAGGGAAGCTGTTAGTATTACGGATGTTTACCTGTCAAACTGTCCCTAGGTTTTAACTTTCGGATGAATTTTGTACCCATTTTACACATTAAATGTATGGAAAACAATAGATTACCACTGATGAAAATGATACATTGCGAACTAAGTGCATGTAATTTTAAGTGTTTCTTAGACTAATGGCATAGGAACCGTCGTCGGATCCGATACAAATCCAGCTGAAAGCATGGTTATTGATATTGAACGAGAATAAATGATCATATGCTTCTAGTATGTTAGACGATTCATTGGCGTGTATGTTAAGAACCGTATGTGATAATATCAATTTCCGATCTCTTATTCTTTTTCTTCCTCGTCTTTGACGCTTCTAACTCGAGCGTTTTTCCTGCTCTCAACTAAGTCAAGCGTAACTAAAGGGTTACCCACATCAAATTGCATCACGGGAAAAACGCTGTAGAAAATTACCTAGTTGATCGATCCTTTTCAAACTTTCAGACAATAAAATATAACCCATTAGTAAGTTTTTGGCATATTTATTTCATTCAACTTCAATACCATAACCGTGCGCTCGCACCTTACGCTTAACTCCACTGATTAGGTTCTGTACAACATCTTCTGTACGGAAACCCACTTTTTCTTCCTCAGATTTGGTTCATGTCCTTGGGTACGAAAGTGACCCCGTTGGCTTCGTACCACTCCAGGACAACATTTGAATAGTGACACGAAGCTAGATCCGGCCAGAAGATCGTAGTGCCCTCGTGTTGCTTCAACAGAGGAAGCAGACGCTTCTGTAGATACTCCTTAAGGTAGATTTCTCCGTTTACAGTCCCGGTTCAGGTACAGTCCGTTTGCCACATGAGCAGATCGCTTGCAATATCATATATTTCTTGGCAAACTTTGAAGGTTTCTGCTTCCTTACTTCCTCCGGAACATCAAACTTGTGCTGGGCGGTGAAGAACAGTAAGCTGCCGGAAGTCCGCCGTTGGTCCCGGCCCATGTGTGTTGAATGGGTGCGATATCCTACGCAGGTGTGGAAGCTGCCTTCCTGCACATTCGATTGCCGTCAATGGATGGCAATCGATGTCCGTCGGTGATTGGCTTTGGATTGCGGAACAGAGATCGACGTTAAATAAAGGAAAGAAGAAGATTTTCAGCACTGTGGATAAGTACAGAATCATCTGCGTACTTTTTTTTAGTGTATCTTTCAGAGGAAGCTCAAATATGTCATTAACACAGATGATAAATAAAAGTGGCCCTAATATTGAACCTAGAGGTACTCCATAAAGAATCCTATGTTCATAACTACTGTGACCATCTAACTTGAGTATTTGTTTCGTATCCTTCAAGTACAATCAAACTACGAGCATTTCCTCGGATCCCGTTTCTAAACAATTTAGTAGTAGCATATCATTCGGGGCACATTCATATGCTTTAGATACGTCTACAAAAATTACCGAGCATATTATCTTCTAATCTATGTCCATCTGAATATTATTATTCAGACTAACTACAGCACTAGTGGTATTTGAACATGGCAGAAATTCGAATTGATTTTTGGTAATCAAATTACTGCTAACACAAAGAATAAAGCAGCCTAGTGTGAATTAGTTTCTCGAACAGCTTGGACAAATTAGAAAGAATTGAAATTGGTATATAATTGTCAACACAAGATTTCGTGCTTTTTTTTAACTGTTCTGGAAATACTCCTTCTATCACTGAGCGGTTGAGAAAAGTTGTAAATAACGGGAGAATTGTATTAGCATTCTGTTTAAAAAAAATTGACGGCAGAACGTGAGTTTTTCATTTCTCGTACATAGTTCCATATTTCATTAACCGAGGCCAGCAGCATCACGATTGATCTAGATAAGCTTTTATTTAAGATCTGAGGTTAAGCTTCCAGTTCATGTTTAATTTAAAATTGCCACGATTAACCATTAAATATTCACGTGTTGCCTCTCTGTCAGAGAGTCTCAAAAGATGTTGCGAGACAGCGCTGGTAGTGTTTCCAATATAATTCCTTTATTTACAAGGTCATCGCCAATATACAGGGTGCGTGACGAATTTTTGCAGTAAATTTCAAATAGTAATTTCTCATGCTTGTGCATCATGATTTAGATATATTTGGCAGCACTGGATAGCTTATACTGTTAGGTGTAAGATTTAAACAATCAATGTTGAGTAAACGTAAAGATGTCGAAACAAGAGAGCAATCTGTCCATAAGGTTAAGAAGGACTCAAATTATTTAATTTATAGAAATGATCGTCTTGATGGACCCTGTGGTGGCGTTGCCATCATAATTCATAGACGAATCAAACATAAAGCTTGCTTCATTTAGAATTGGAACAAACTTTTGCTCATATTGTGGTGCTCCTGGTGGACGGATTTGGAAGTTCTTGGCGCCCACGTGTCGGGAATTTTGTCAGCTTCACGTATGTATTTTTGACATTCCGCAAATCGACTGTACTTTGTAAACAATCAACATGGAAGCCGAAAGAAGGGAAAAAATTGTGCACAGTTATTTGGAAAATCCATTGTGGTCTGCATCTAGGCTAGCTAAACAGCTGAAATTGCCCAGAAATACCGTATGGCGCGTTATCAAACGGTATAAAGAAACATTGACGACGATTCGGAAGCCTCAAGCCAATCGTCGGAGTGGAACTGTCTGTCGACCGGAAACTGCGTGGTAAGATTTTGAAGACGATTAAGAGGAATCCCAATCTGTCGGACCGTGATTTGGTCAGAAATTATGGTGCTGCCCATAGTACCGTGAGGAGAACTCGACTCCGGGAAGGAATCAAGTCGTATCGAGCTAGCAAACAGCCAAATCGGACCATAAAACAGAATAGTGTGGCCAAAATCCGTGCGCGGAAGCTATACGACCAGGTGCTGACCAAGTTCGACGGGTGTCTTCTGATGGACGATGAAACCTATGTCAAGGCTGACTTCGGGCAAATCCCAGGTCAAAAATTTTACCTTGGCAACGGCTCGGGGGGATGTTCCAGCCAAATTTAAATTTGTTTTTGCCGACAAATTTGCACGAAAATGTATGATTTGGCAGGGCATTTGCAGCTGTGGCAAAAAAACGAAAGTTTTCGTTACAAATAAGACAATGAAGTCGGAACTATACCAAAAAGAGTGTCTCCAAAAACGAATTTTGCCGTTCATTCGATCCCACGACCATCCCGTAATGTTTTGGCCAGATTTGGCAAGCTGTCATTACAGCAAAGTCGTTCAAGAATGGTATGCAGAGAAAGGGGTCCAGTTTGTTCCGAAAAACCTTAACCCACCCAACTGCCCCCAGTTCCGCCCTATTGAGAAATACTGGGCAATCATGAAGAGGAGACTCAAGGCAAAGGGAAAGGTTGTCAAAGACATCAATCAGATGAAGACCTGGTGGAATAAGATTGCTAAAACGATGGACGAAGAAGGTGTGCGCCGCCTAATGAGCCGTGTTACAGGAAAAATTCGAGAATTCCTTCGAAACCGTGACGAATAATTTTATCCGTATTTTTTCTTAAAAGTAAGAAGAAAACGCTACATTTGTATAAAAAAAGATCTTGAATTAAATAATAAATAACTGAAATACAGGCAATTGTTTTTGTTCCAATTCTATCTGAAGCAAGCTTCAAAATACTTTCTTCATTTGAAACCAAAGTTTTTGAAACTTTGGGAGTTTATGTTGAAACAAAATTTGGACAACTTACGTTTATAGCTGCCTATTTGCCATTCCAATGCGTAGGCCAGCAAAAGAATTTTCTCAAGGGTGACCTCCAGAAACTTACCCGTCATAAGTCTAAATTCTTCATTATTGGTGATTTTAATGCAAAACACCGCTCATGGAATAATGCTCAAAGCAATTCCAATGGTAATATTCTGTTTGATGATTGTTCTGCAGGTTATTACACTATTCAATATCCAAACAGTCCAACATGCTTTTCTTCTGCAAGAAATCCCTCAACTATTGATTTGGTCTTAACTGATTCATGTCAACTTTGTAGCCAATTGGTTACCCATGCTGATTTCGGTTCTGATCACCTTCCAGTAACTTTTGAAATATCTGAAGAAGTAATTTGTAATCCCAACAGCTCTATTTTCAATTACCATAGAGCTGATTGGGAGCAATATCGAACATTTATGGAATATAACTTCGATCCAAACATTCCTTTGCAAACCAAAGATGAAATTAATTATGCTCTTGAATCTCTGACTACTTCTATAGTTGAAGCAAGAGCTGCCTCAGTACCAAAATGCGAGGTTAAATTCGATTCAATTATAATAGACGACGATCTTCAGCTATTAATCCGTCTTAAAAATGTCCGTAGGAGACAATATCGAAGAACACGCGATCCTGCCATGAAAGTTATCTGGCGGGATTTGCAAAAACAAATTAAAAAGCGATTCTCTGCCCTGAGGAATAAAAGTTTTGAAAATAATGTTTCTAAATTAGACCCGAGTTCCAAACCCTTTTGGAAATTCACAAAATTTTTGAAAAAAAACCTCAAAAGCCTATTCCAGCGCTTAAAGAAGGTGGTAAAATTTTGATCACAAATTTGGAAAAAGCTCAGAAACTTGCTAAGCAATTCGAGAGTTCCCATAATGTCAGTTTGGGTCTTACTAGTCCTATTGAGAATCAGGTTGCTGGGGATTATCTGAATATTTTCTCTCGGGAAAATATTTTTGATGATTCTTGGGGGACTGATTTGGACGAAGTAAGGTCTATAACTAAAAAGTTTCAAAATATGAAAGCTCCAGGTGATGATGGAATTTTCTATATCCTCATCAAAAAACTCCCAGAGAGTACCTTGTCTTTCTTGGTAAAATTATTTAACAGATGTTTCCATTTGGCATACTTTCCTGATAAATCGAAAAATGCAAAAGTTGTTCCAATTTTGAAGCCGGATAAAAATCCAGCTGAAGCTTCTAGCTACCGTCCAATAAGTTTGCTTTCTTCAATAAGCAAACTTTTTGAAAAGATAATAGAATGATGCTTCACATCAATACGAACTCAATTTTTGCAGATGAGCAGTTTGGATTTCGCCATGGGCATTCAACTACTCATCAACTCTTAAGAGTTACCAATTTAATTCGTTCAAACAAATCGGAAGGCCACTCAACTGGAGTTGCTCTTCTAGACATAGAAAAAGCATTCGACAGTGTTTGGCATGAAGGTTTGATTGCTAAATTGAAAAAGTTTAATTTTCCACTTTATATTATGAAATTAGTTCAAAATTATTTAACTGACAGAACTCTGCAGGTAAATTATCAAAATTCCAAATCTAATCGACTAC